CATACTTTTCCCATATGTCAAGGTCATTTGCTCTAACAGGAAACGGATATTCGAGAGAAGTAATACAAAGAAATATACTGGCTGTTCAAAGCCAATGGCTGGAAGGGGATTAAGAATGAATAGTAAGGATAGAGAAAGACTCACATAAGTCCTTTCTTGCGAACTAGCTCAAAAGCTAATGCCAATATTAAGAAAATAGAATATTCAGGTGACCACGAAGGAAAAAAACAATTCACAAGTTCACCGAAGCAGCATGATAGGGTGGATAAATTGGATTGCTCAAAAGTTAACTGCATAGCATGCGGGGTCTACTTAAAAAGATAAATGAGCAAAATAGGAATAAAAATCATCATACGAATCTAAGAATTTCAAAGACTCTACAGGAAAATGGATACCTACATATCAAAAATAGCAGAGCATATCGCACAGATTGGACACGAGATTAATTGGAAGGCAAAAGAAAGAATGGCCTAATGGTGCAAAAACAGGTAAACGGAAGATTAGGAAAGCGATTGATATCCTTGGAGGAAAAATTAATAAATTCGAGATTTGAATATGGAATATAAAGTTAGTGTTGACTTTACCTGTTACCTAATTAAATTGGAGAAAACAAGGATACGACGAGGCAAGATAAAAGGAGTGGCCTGGATTAAGGAACTATTGTTAATCAGAGGAAAGAACGTCTGGCAATGTCCCAAGTCTACGGTCAGACGCTGGGAATTATAATATCTACTATAGAAGAGAATTTCGTGCAATTTTCTTCCAACTAATTTGCCACATCTACACAATTCCCATTTTCGAGTTGCACACCAATGTTAATACGAAGTAAACCATATGTTTAAAGAAATGGTTTGACCTTGTCGTAACTTGGTCTTGTTGTCAGTAGTAGAACACACCTAGTCCGAAGTCTGCCATAGTAGTCATGATTTCCATCATCAGACAGTGGACTTGCTACCTTCTTAGAGGTGCGTTCTATTAAGTCGCCCTGACAACAAGACCAATTTGCGACAACGAGGTCAACTCACTTCTATAAATCGAAAGGAGACTGCCACCATACCAGAGGCCACATCATCTTGGTCTTCGTTTTTTCATCTATTTAAAATTTCATTTATAGCTTAGGGGTTTTCTCCACAGCTTTAAACCTAATTTCTGATACCTAGCCCGCAAATCTCACTTGTCTGCCTCGATACGCATCCGGATTGAGATTCATTGCGCCTTAAGAATGCAAAATGACTATTTTTCGTCCATAGCTCAGGTGTATATGACTAGTAAAAAAAATAAATCAATTTTTAAAACAATCTAGTGCCTACATTTATAAAAGTGCAATATTATATCATACCTTAAAAATTATCAAATCTTACTTGCCGTCACAATCTTATTATCTATCCTTTCTCATAATAGTTATTTTTTAAGTTATAACGATAATTTTGAACACTTCTGGTTGACTTTTAAGCTTATTTGAAATTTTTATAAGCAGGAATTAATTTTTTTCTTTAACCATTTCTATTTGATCTATACTAGGACACTCATTTCTATCTTTATGGAACTGAGTCATGAATAAACGCTTTACGTTCGTGCGATTTTTTATCTACCACCTAAACTTTTAAATATAGATTCAAGGGCTTGCTGTTCGTTTTCTTTCCTCCCAGGTACAGAAATGTCGCTCGACTCGTCTGGCCATCTTGTTCAGCCTACAGCAGCGCACATTAATTATAGTAAGCCTTTATCCTCATTGTGCCCAGATGCTGATGAAAAATTTTCTTCGAGTGCATTACTTACATCTGTTTCTCAGATACGACAACGAAGCTCTCTTACTACGCTCTTCTCTTCAGCTGCACGCACCATTTATTCTGCTGTCTCTAGTTATGTGCCGCCCATTTCTGGAAATGTGGTGGATGATACGAGTGAGATTAATATTACTGATTCTTCATCTCATTCCACAAATATGCCATCGGACAGTTGTTTGTCTAAAGGCCACTCCTCTCCAACGCAATTAAATGCTGTGAATGCTACTCCTACAAACTCAACCAAACCTTATCCTTCGAGTCATTCTTTCGCCCAGCACTCTGACTCAGCTATATTGCCATTAGGTAAGCACGATCGTTTGCTCCTTTAACTTTGGACATTGATGGTTGATCTGCTTATGATAAGTTGCTGGACACATTTGCTATTCGCTAAAATATTTCACTATGCTATGAATATGTGCTTTCAGGACATTTTAATTAATAAATCTTTTTTACGCTAATTTCGATGCACTTATTGCCACGATATCTACGCTATTTGAAGTTATAAACTTTGAGTCAATCAAGTTCATAATTGATAATGCTTATTTAGGAGAAATTGAGGCGAAGTATACGAAAAACCTCACTAGCAGATACTCTTTTTAAGCCCTTTACTTCAACAAGAGTTAAAGAATCACATTTTATGTACGTATATATATTATCTTTAAAAATTTACTATATTTATACTTGAAAAACTCCATCTTATAAGTGTCTGAGGCTAGTATTTAACCGAAAATCGTTCATTAATATTTTTTTAAGGCTTTATAGATATTTAGTTCATATGACTTCGTTTTCGTAACTTAGTCAGCAACGTGTAGACCTCGTGGAACTTACTCAATCCTGTTTCATCTGCCATAGTAATCATGCTGATTTTACTCTTTGGATCGGTGGCCTAATACTTTTTCAGCCACGAATTCCCACTTGGCTTTGATTTTAATTTTTCTATC